TTAGAAATCAGTTTGTTTTTGACTAGCCTTAAAAGTTCCTTATTAGAAATCTATTCTCATTTCTACTAGCATTTTTCTTTTCTTAGCTACTTTCGTTTCCTACTTAAAGTTTTTATACTAAGGAAAATTCTTTTTTAATGACATTCTCAAAAATCTCTTCAAATTTATTTCACATATATGAGCTTAACATAATGTGATCTCATGTGAAAAGCTAATCAGCTTCGCTTCGCATCCGAAAAGTATGCTATACAATTTCATGTATGCAAGGAATTGATTCGGAAAGCATAATTGATATATTACTTTTGTTCTCTTTTTTATATATATTTATCAATAGACATTTAGTTTGCTTTAGTTTTTCATTTTACTGTTATTATGGGAACAACTTTAATCAAACTTTTACGAATGCCCACCATAAAATGTTTTAATTTTGCAGATGCTTACAAATATTCCAGTCTTTAATCTTAAATACCTTCATTTTATGTATGTAAATAGAAATGTTAAAGACCAACTCAAGTTATGCTGTACTTTTGGGAGTCACAACGGAATTGGGATTAAATCGAACTAAGCCCATTGAAAGGGTATGCACATATGTGCATATAGAGTTATCTTTAGATATGTAAAATCGAAATTTAGGGCTATGTGGGTTATACAGGCAGCTGCGACAAGAAGGGAATTTAGATTTTGGGCCGTTTGCGTAAAGTTGAGAGTCAATTTAGCGGAATGCCAAGCCGAAGACAAAATACTTTTGTTTATTTGTCGTGGGCGGAGCATTGAAAATGTTTGTTTGCCTTTCTTCTCGCCCGATGGAAAAAGTTACACCGTATGCTGGATGGGGATGGGGGAAGTGGGGCACTTTGCATTTTTTGGAGGCCCCAATTGATTTTTAATGGCTTTATGCTTCACTGGAATAACAAATGGAACTTCAAGTGCCCGGCTCGAAACTCTTTGGGCTCGCAAGGGTTTGCAAAATATTAAAATGACTTTTGGGCTAAATATTTTGCATATGGAAATAAAAATAACTTCCTAGTGGCAAAGTGGCAACAAGGTCACGACTACTCAGCACTAACCTTTCGGCGTGGACACAATGCTTGTAATTTCTATTCAATTTGCTGGTTTGCCTTTTGGAATTTATACAGATTGGAGCTTTCCGCAGAAATGCCCAATAAACCGATAAGGGCAAAGGTGGCAAATGCCTTGAACTAATTGTGTTTCTTTTTTGCTGCCATTCGATGAGGGTAAAGTTACCTGAAAACATCCTAATGAACATTTACAGTGGGCTAGGAAAATGTGTGCCAAACATATATATGCTCAAATTAATGCCGTGCTCTGACGTCAAACTAAACTTGGGCATATAAAGATTTCAGTTTATATAGACAATAAATATTGATATTTTATCTATTTAATTATATACATTTATTCTACGGGTGTTCGATCCCTGAACTTCGTGCTCAGTGCGGCGCGATGAGTTTTTGTCAAATAAAATGTATATTTTAATAATTAAAATTTAACTTTATTACATTTACAATTAAATAATTTTATTTGATATTCTAGCTACAATATTGTTTAGTCCTTTCCTCAAAATTCGCTTGATTTTTATACCCTGAACCCATTAAAAATGGGTATAAGGGTATATTGTATTTGTGCAAAATGCAAATGTATGTAACAGGCAGACGAAAGCATCTCCGAACCCATAAAGTATATATATTCTTGATCTGCACCAATAGCCGAGTCGATCTAGCCATGTCCGTCTGTCTGTCTGTCCGCCTGTCCGTCCGTGCGTCTGTCCGTATATATGAACGCAAGGATCTCAGAACCTATAAGAGCTAGAGACTTGAAATTTTAGATGTAGGTGCTCCTAGTGGCTGTGCATACCGAGTTTATTTCTGATAATCGATAACTCACTCCCTTTCCCTGTTTTTTGGGCAATTTTGGTAAATAATAGCGAAAGTCGCCGAACTTGAAATATAGCTTCTAAAATAGAATATATATATGCATTTGATGTTGGAAGAAGAGGGTTCAGGGTATCCCCTAGTCGGGAGCTCCCGACTAGAACCTCTTACTTGTTTCTTATTCCAACTGTACAATGTGAAAAGGGTTAAAGCTATTGTTAAGAGACTTTAAATTGACGCATGCATGGCTTCTTTTGCCATTTTGAGGCAGGTCAGTAAACTGTTTGCACTGACTGTAAGTCTGAGAGTGCGTGCAGTCTCTGGCTGTGGTAGTCGCTGCTTGGATGCCTCCTTCTGCTGGCGTTGTTATTGTGGCTGTCATTAAATTACACACTTTGCATTTAAGCCAGCTTAGGGGTTGCTGCTAAGCCTATTAAAAGTGCACCTTCCCAGGTGTATTGAAGAGGGCAAGGACAATCTCGGAGCTGGCAATTTCTTTTCTTTTCATTTTTAAAGCGAATCTGCTCGGCTTTGACATTTGGCCTTTGGCTGCCAAACAAATGGCCGCTTGATGTGATGAATTTGCTTTCATAATTGCTCAGAAAGGATGTGAATGGGTTCCTTGGTCCTCTCTGTTGGAATTCGAAATCCCTATCTGAATGCCCAGCATGGCAAAGTTCACTACGGCGCTTTTTGAATTCGCCCGTTCACGAATTTACAAAAATCTATTTGAACATACTAAACTGTTGAGTTTTTCAGACGCAATCCTTTCCAACACTTGAGCACTTGCGGGCCAAATGAAATTTATCGTTGACCCTTTTTCCATTGAATTTTACGCTACGGCTACCCAAATTGATATCCAAATTTAATGGCCAATAAAACGGATATAAAATGGATAATATTCGATTCCTTGAAAGGTAACTAGAAAAAAAAAATACCAAAAATGTTTTGAATATTTTAAAGAAATTTAATTTCTGTAACGTTTGATGTAAGCGCAGAAAAAGAGCAATAAAAATCAATTTCAAAGTCTCGTCCTTAGTTTTGGTATAGATTTAAAATTCCATTAATGCTAGAACATAAAGAGATTGTGTGAACTTGTATTCTATTATTTCGTAGCCGCTTCTGCTAGAAATAAATAATGTATTTGTTTGTGTGCGGCTTACAAAGATATTATAGAATTAAATTATGACTTTGCCAATTGCCCTAAAATCAGTATGCAATTTATAGAGAAAAATTGTGTGTTTAAGAGAAGTCCTCGATAAATAAGTTGTCTAAGAAGTACAGCAATTCCGGATCCCGGTTCGAATTTATTCCTCATTAAGAAAAGTGAATAGCCTCTGACTACATATATATGTACACTCTGCAACAGAAACACGGGCCCATTCCAAGTTTTACGACGAAAGCTTTAAATCTGAGAGACTAGTTCGCATAGAAGGAGACGGACTGACGGACATGGCTATGTAAACTCGGCTGTTGTTGCTGATCTAGAATATGGATACCTTATAAGGTCAGAGATGTCTCCTTCTATGCGTTACACATGATAGATTTATAATACCCAGTACAAGGTTATTCTAAATAAATATTAAATACTATTTACATTCCCACGTTTTGTTCGCAGCTGACTTTATCAAATTTCAATACTCACTTTATTGTTTACTAGTCATGAGCTGCTTCATAAACTTTTACTGGGCACCTTTAAAGTTATTTACTGCGCAGTCCGCCTATTTATTCTTGGAAACTACAAGCCTTACAGATATTTTCCTTTTGTTAACTTTGATTTTTTAATAATCAATTACTTGAGCAAAAACACTCAAACTCAGTCCAGTCAAATTAATTTTCGCGTAGTCAATTAATTTTATGGCAACTACGTGCTTTAGTCGCAACTGAAGTCATTAAAGGATATTTCTTAATCAAATCGAAGTAAATTTACGAGTCAATAAAACTAATTTATGCACCAAATCCACAAATCAGCCTATCCACAAACATATATCAGGCATATCAGCTGTCATAAATATTGAGGACAACCAAAATCCCGCACAATAACAATAATAAAAAAATAAACAAAAATAGCATGACCAAAAAAGAAAAAACAATTTAAATCATCAACAAGCAAATCCAGAATAAAGCCGGAAACAATTCGCTCTGCCATGGACATAAACAAGCCTGAATTACAATTTTTTTTTCTTACCACACGTGCGTGCAACGGGCCAGAACGGCGCACGCCTTTTGCCACATGCCACGCCCTGTGGCTGCGCCTCTGACCAGGCGAATGGGACACGGCTAACAAGTTGTTCCAATTAACAAAGCAGCCGAAAAGCAAAGCGAAAACATAATCAAAGTGGCCGAAAACGGACGAGGACAAAAGGATGGACGCATCAAAGTGCCCATAGGCTGAGAGGGCGTGGATGAGGCAGGGCAGGGCAAGGCAGGGAAGAAGGGAGGGACAGCTAAGCCTTGGCCAGAATAACAAGACGCAAATGGCCGATTCCTTTGGTGGCGTGTCAGACAAACATATAAAATGGCAACAGGATAAGAATCTGTCCATTCGACCGAACTCATTTTCATGCAAGAGCCCAAATGAGGAATTATGAATGCCCAAACCCGTTAAGGATAAGAGGTTGCCCCCAAAGCTGCCGCCAGCTCTGTTTAGTGGCCAAGATTGGCATCTTTGTTCCACTAATTGTTAGTTATGACTGTTTTCTTCTTCTGCCTCACAATGCCGCTAAGCGACAGCCTGTGTCTTCGGGGCACGAGATGCTTCCCGCCATCTGTGCAGCCAGATAAATCACTTTGGAGCACAGATCTTCTTGGGCTGGCTCCACTTCTGACGCCATTACCAGCACTTGATAATCTGATTACCACGAAACATATAGAACTTACAGATACATCAAAACTTTTCAGCCTTCTTTAACGCTCAGGCTTCAGCTCACTTTATTTAACATATCGCATATTGTTGTTGCAACTAGGTCGTGAATCTATCCCTCTCATATTCTTTAAATATAGACTATACTTACCAGAGACTTTTGAAAGACAAATTTTATGAAACAATTTATCTAATATTGAAAAAAAAAAATCAAATCATATTTGCCATAATTGTGATTTTAGTACGAAATTTTAGTTTATACTAAAATGTTTTCTATTTTCCAGCAAAATCAACATCGCCTGCGAATGAATCAGTCAATGGTTCCCAGATGAACCTATAATGCTTGGTCAATCACACATAAGGTTTTAATTGGGTGAGCATAAATATCTGAACAACAACTCAACATCAACATCAACTCCGGTCCACACAACTACTGCCTCCAGCTGCTGCTGCACCGATATGAAACCTTTATGTTGGTCGTGCTCAGTACGAATCGAAAGAGGTATTTTATTTAAAAATCAGACTTGAATTACTAAGATAACTTATTTATTTATATATATTTTTTTATACCCTGAACCCATTAAAAATGGGTATAAGGGTATATTGTATTTGTGCAAAATCCTAATGTATGTAACAGGCAGAAGGAAGCATCCCCGACCCCATTGGAAGAAGAGGGTTCTGGATATCCCCTAGTCGGGAGCTCCCGACTAGAACCTCTTACTTGTTTATCTTTACAGATTGGTAAATTTAGGAACCCTCAATTAATCCTATTAACTTTGGACAAACCCCAAAAGGCACATTTTTCCAGAATCGGCCTTGATTTGCCCGGAATATATGCATTAAATAATGCATACACAAAATATTTAAGTCAAAAATAAAACCAAATAAGCAACAACAACTATAAGTTTTATTATTTCTGTATAATTAAAGATTTGTCAAAATGTACAATAACTAATTTTATATTTATGTAAAGTTTTAAAATAAATTATTTGAATATGCGATCAAATTACTTTTTTTTTTACTTCAAAGGGCACATTTATTTGTTGGCATTTAATATTTATTTAGGCAGACAAACTAAAAACTTTTGAGTGAAAATGTTAAGCTTGTTAACATGCGGCTCTTAATTAACAGCTGTTAGCTCGATTTTAAAGGCGACTGTTAAGTAGCGTCAGACTTAAACGAAAATTGGACTAAAATACCAGGCGAACAGAAATCAGCTGAAGGCAGACGATCAGAAAAATGTTGTAGTAAAAATTCTATTGCATACGCCTAAGGGGCAAGAGTGTTAGTCCACTGCTATTTTATAGGGCGCTGTTAAATAACAGCTGCAGCTGTTGGGCCGACTGTTAACATTTTATTTTTTTATTTTTTGTCTGCTTGCTGCTCATTTCTGTTCGCCTGGTATTTCCACAGAATTTCTTTTTGATATCGCGAGCCAACGGAATGGAATGGGATCTTAAGGCCGTTAATTTTTGAATATTAACTACCGCATTTTAAAAGGGGTGCTGACACAAAGAGCATGCATACATTTTTTTGAACCTATTCCGTGCAAATTTCACAGGAATTTGGACCTGTAGGTTCGCCAGGACTATATCCAAGGTATGATTAAGCCAAGGATATAAGGGTCAACTGTAAACCAGCGAGGCTGCTCGGGGTGGCTGAAATGGTTATACATGCATATTTTTCGACCACATTTTTGCTCATTTTGCAAGAGTTGGGTCTTTAGGTTCGCCAGTTCAATGGTATGGCATAACCAAGGATATAGGGGTCATCTAGGAGCCAAATTTTTGAGAAGTTTTGCCTTACATATGCAAAATCCGCCTTAACTTGATTATTTATTACGAACACCTATTATTGTTTTTGAACTTTAATGGCTATATCTCGAATAAATGATTGTCCTGGTCTGTACGAGTTGAAAAAGGCATATCGTCTCAAAATCGCACAGCTTTTATCCGATAGGTTCGAAAAAGAGTATTTTTGAGTAACTTTTAATGCTATATTTACTATATGTCGATTAAATTAGAGCGGATCTTCGGATCAAATCATGGAGATCAATCGAATCGAATTAATTTTGTATTCTTCAGTAAAATGCGCATCGGTTCTAACTGAAAAGAGTCGTAGTTTCTCGGTCAGCTCTGCATCCTTGGTGAATTATGCCAAATAGATATCTTGCCTTGCTCTGAATCCTGGAATAATGGACAAGCATGTGGCCAAAAAGTTTCTCCTGCTTTCACTGTCTCAGGCGAGTGCTGTTTCGCCAAACTCATTTGCATAAGTTAAGTTTCCATTACATTGTGTCCTTTGCTGCTATGGGAGATGGTGGCAAGGAGTAGGAACATCTGTGTGGATGTTGAGCGTCCGTTTGTGTGTGGCAGCAGAATTAACACTTGATTTGGGTTTGGTCAACAAATTTGTGTCCACACTGTGCACAATATTAACTGATGCAGGTCCCATTGTTTGCCAAGTTTGTTTGCCTAGAGAACACGTAATATCCTAAATTCGGCAGGTGTATACATTTTGTCATTTAATAGGTCGAGAGAAATACGAAAGTAATAAGCCAATTAAAAGTGATAAAAGAAGTTTCAAGCATAATTGCCAAATCCAGAAACGAGCTCTAGACTAGAAGAGAGATGTTGTGGTATATATATATCATCAAGTGATGGTGCAGTATGTATATAATTGTTTAAATAGTGTCCATTAACTTACTTATATGTTTTCTTTTAATTTAACATATTTTATAGCTCAAAGATAAAATTTAAAATTCGCACTGCATAGATTGTATGATTAATAGAAAGATAAGCTGTGTCCTTCCACAAACTAATTCAAACTACATTCATCTTAAATAATATAGTATTAATTAGTTAGTTGATTCATTTAATTGTGATCAAATGACAAAAGTTTCCAAGAGTTTCCCTTTAAGCAGGAACTGCCAACAGAAATCTTTATTTCAACAAAGTCGTTGACTATCTAATGACACGACCGCAAATAACATCTATAGAATCTGTTTATTTATGGTAATTATGTTTCGACACCTAAATCCCGGCGCTATAAACCTCGAGGCTAACTGGTTAGTTGGAGCACAACCACAAAGCCAACCAGTCCAACAAATTAACTAATTGTGCAATAGGCATTTTCCTAGACTTCTGACAATGGACTTGACAAACCGAAAGGGCGGGACGAAGGGTTGCCAATCAGCACCAATAAAATTTGTGGCCAAGGTGGTTTTTCGCATTAGCCTAACAAATATATATGTTAGATATATTTGTATATATGCCTTGGCACATATTTATATGTTAACTGTGTACATAAATCTGGTGCGCTTTGACCCAGTTTGCGGCACGGCTGCAGGCAACACAAATTACGATTAACATAAGCATTACCTGCGGTCAGAATGTCTAGCAGCAGGCCCAGGGTGAAGAAGGAAAAATGTTATATGGGCTCTCCGCTTTTTCGGGCAAAACATGACAAAATTTGTTCATTGTTCGGGGATGTTATCTATGGGCCATGTGCAGCTGCCAGGCTACGAGTTGATTTAGTGTAGGTCCAATAGGCCAGCTGGCCAGCCAGGCGCTGCCAGACCATTCAATGGACATGTCAGCGGGGGCGTCCCGGATGGCGAGCGGTATGCTGTTTGTGATTCGAGATTAGCCACTTTGACTCCAACATTTATTGCATGCCAATAACTTTTGTCTGGGCACAAAGGTGCGCTGGCATTTGGGGTGTGCGTGTGTGTGTGTGTGTGTGTGCGTGTGTGTGGGCTTCGGCCATTGCCAATACCTGCAATGCTTGGTCAATTTGCATACATGTACCTGTTAGCCAAAATAACAACAGCAACTGGCAGCAGCTACCTTTTGTGACTGGCAGCTTGTAATGAATTTTCGTGTTTCTGCCTTTCTTTTGTGCGAACAATTTCGATTTTCTGGCTTTTTCTTGGTTTCCAAAATGCAAATTGAACGTGTTGTGTTTGAATTTTGAATAATTGACAGCACTAGAAAACCGAAAGCCTGTGGCCACTTTAGTAACAATTGACTGTAGCTTGCCTGGTTTGACCTGATCGTTATCTGACTCAATTAAAAATTACAAAATCAAATTAAACATTTTAATTGGTTTTGTGCAGCCAATATGAGCTAGGCTTTAAATTAAATAATTGTATTGATAATATAGACCATTTACTCCAGACTAGAACTAGCACTAAAACAGAATGGGTTTTAAATTTAATATCAGAGCTAAATGTTATTGGCTTTTGAATTCGGCTTTTTGGTTACCTACAAATATTTGTATGGAAAATTGTTTATGCTTGGACTTAATCATAATATGCCAATCAAATAAATAGTTAAAGAACAGTTTATATTAAATTTATAATATAATTGTTTATTATAACTTTATTTGCATTTGAATATATGCACATTTGACACATTTGACACTTGGTACACATTTTAAAATAAAAAGTTTTTACTTACATTTGTAGGCACATTTTTAATTTTTAATTTGTAAACATTTCAAATTGTATTCTTAATAAGTCAGCTCAAGAGCTGTGATTTATTCATGTTCGAAAATAATCCCACATATGAGTCCGAAAGAGTATCCCGTGAGTAGCAAAAATTTTGTCCAATTTAGTAGCGTGTGCGCTCGTCGTAGCGTTTGATTAAACTGAAATCGTGAATACAATAAGAAAATCAATAATTATACAAATTAGTTATTTATTAGGAACTTTAACAAAAATGCAATTGTTTTCATCTTGAGTGCTGTAAAAATATGAATAAATAGTGAATACATTAGTGAATAGCTTGAATTGCGAGTGTTTAAAAATATATAAAGCCTTTGGTGGATAGTTTAAAATCTTACCTGAGCCTTCAGAAATCGAACACAAACTGTTTGAATTATGTTTATTTAATATTCAATTTAATTTATAATAATATTCTGTTTGGCTTTTGAAGAAATCTGTGCTTAAAAACTAACCATTTAGTTAATATTCAATTGGAGATTAATTTCCAGCTTGATTTGGAATTTATTTAAGCCTCATTGTGGCTCTATAACTAAGAGCTCTACATAATATGTGTCTACAAATGTGAATTAATTTATTTATAGTTTAAAATTACCGTAATTAACACTAGAAAGCAACAACAACTAAACATGAATTAATTAATTTATGTACATATTCCAGAGCTCGAGAGCTATATTTATTATAATTAAACATCTATTGATATATTTTATTTCCAACTACATGGGTTTACAATTAGCAAAAGTCAAATGGAATTGCGTATTTTGGTGCACAAAACATAAATAAATATATATACCCTACACATGAGTATAGTTGATTTGCGATTCATTTTGAATGCTGCTTAAGACTAAGCCTTAAATATACCACATCACATAGAGTACCATACGAAATACGGAATACGGAATAGAGTGTATCGATTATATTTCATTGTATTTACAACAAATTGAGCCTAACAATTGCCTTGGAATTTGCATACAACTAATAAGTACATACCGAAATGAGCTCGACTGAAGGGCCCAGTGGGCTCGAGTCCAAGTCAAGTATTCAATTAATTTCTTCCCTTCTGCACACACATATGCAGCTCACACACGACGACGTGAGCTATGCTTAAAGCTTTGCCTATGCGTGCGTCAGAGCTTCTTTCATTGAAGCACACTAATACATGTGCAACGCACTAATACAAACGCATCGTCTGCATTCTAAAGAGCTTTGGGGCCAGGGCATTAACAGAGCCACCGCAAAATGTATGAACTTTGCTAATGCCACAAAAGCCACATGGTTATGCGCAGGGCCCATATTGCTGGCTTAAAGCCTTTGGTAATTTACATGCCAATTCCAGTTACAGACACCAACCTAACAAGTGCTGAGTGCCCTCTGGGGTGTTAATGATGCTGATGCTGGTGTTTGAAGGGGGCCAGATAGCACAACAATTACTGCCAATTAGCATAGCCAGTATGTGTGAGTGTCAGTGTGTGTGTCGGTGTGTGTGTGCGTGTGTGAATTTAGGTGCAAGAGTGAGATCAGTGGCCAAATGGTTTAGAGCTGCTCGTCGGCCTGTTGGGACAACGCACCCTCCTCCAGCAGCTCCACAATCAGTGTGCCTCACCTTTTCTCATTGATGATGGAGGCGCGTCCGATGCCAGCACCAGGGCCGCCCACATTGTGGGCATGCCCATTGCCGCTGCCCGCGTGCTGCAATGGCATCGAGTCCTGGCGATGAAAACTGCCGCCACGACCGCCACCGCCTCCGCCTCCGCCGCCGCCAACCCCCACGCCATGGTTATTGTTCATGTGCAGCGAGGCACGATGGGCGGCCAGGCTGCCGCCAACGGCTCCGCCCCCACCGCCCCCCACATAGGTGGAACGACGCATCGAGGTGACGCTGGTGTCCATGACGCCCGTTGCGGTCGAGTGTTGCCGGAGGTGCGGCTGCCGCTTGACGCAAATGCAGCACAGATAACGGTTGAAATGCTGTCGAAACACACCGGACACACAATAAAGCGCCACAGGATTAACGCACGAATTGAGGAAGCTGCAAATTGAAAAGACCAAAGCGAAAAGTTAGTCCATGGGCACATGCTAATTTGTTAAGCGACTGCCGCAGGCCGTTAACTATGCGCAATCCAAAGGGTTAAAGGGTATGCTGCGGTATACTAGTCTACTTTGACAGCTCATTTGTCAGGCCAATATTTAATAATGTAATCAAGAGTAGGCGTATTTTACAACCACAAGACAATTATTATTGCCTTGTGAAGGCTTGGTCGTTATAGCCAGGTCCATCTGTCCCTCTCTACACCTGCCTGTTTCTATGCAAACTTGTCTCGCAGCTCTTTTAAAAATGCAATCCAAATTACAGATAATTAGCTTGTTTAGATTTCAGACTTATATTTTGACATTATTTTTTAAATAAATAATAATTTGATAATTTGAATAAAATCTTTTTCAACATAATATATAATATTAAAATCAAACTTCTGTAACACGACATCATTTATTATTAGCGAGATTCACAGTAACGAAATCCCATCGCTTTTCGTTTTATAAGCAATTCAATGTTGCTGCTGGATTTGAACCAGCGAGCTGCCGCTTACTGGTCCGAAGTTCAGACAACGCTGTCAGTTTTTAAAGCTAAGATAATTCATAAACCTTTTGCTTCCGTTTTACTTATTGATCCAATTCCTCGCATTTCTATTCAAATCCTTAGCAGTTGAGCACACACTTTAATTCCTGCCAATCCCTTTTTTGCCCGGGTTCTTAATTCGCTACGTTTTGGTTTCGATTTGTTTCAATTTTCTACTGAATATTTTATTCAAGTAGAGTTTATTTGCTTTTTTTTCTTTTGTGGGCAACCCTTTTGGCATTAAAATGCAAATTATTCTCAGTGGAGCTGACAGTTTCTGACGTCACAAATTAAGTTGCCCAAATGCTGACACATTATTTTTTGCACTTTACTGCGCTTAGTGACGCCCCCCCTCGCCACAAAAGGGGCGTGGCAGCTGTCAGTGAAATAAAATTTACTACATCTTGACGCCTGCGGGGTGTGTGGGTGTGAGCTGGAGGGAGGGGGTGTTGTATTGGGGCTTGGGTTTAAGTTTTTACTCGGATTATCTCTTTCAATTAAAAATCATGCCAAAAGACGACGCGACGCCCGGGGCAATGCAGTGGAAATAAGTGCAGGAAAACCAAGTTTAAAGACGGAAAACTTCGCATATGCTTGGCTGCCATTGACTCTCCCCTATTTCCACAACCCGCCGCACATCCCACACCCCTTCGTCCGCTTTGTGTGTCAGCGTGCAATATGATGGCACTGGCAAAGGAATTTCAAGGATTGCGCGCGACAGCAAACAGCTTTCATCCCCCAGCCCCAACCCGAAGGAAAAACCAAATGGAAAAATTGCTAAAAATCGCAGTAGTTTGTGGCAGTTGCCGTTGCAGTTGCAGCAGCAGTTGCAGTCGCTTACCTTGTACAAAATCCCACTATGCGCACCACATGCCAGAAATCATCGAAGTCCTCCTCGGCGGTGGGATAGAAATGGTACCACAGCTCGAACACATGATATGGAAAGAAGCAAATAAAGAATACTGCTCGGGCAATTAGTAGGTCTTACATCAAGCGACTTCCTATGCCCACGCCCAAGCCTGGCATCATGTCATACTCACCGACCACAAAGGCCACCACCATGCGTGCCACATGGCGTCGGGCGCGCGCCTGGCTGCGGCTCTGGATGCTCAGCTGCTCGCCGGGCATGTCCCGGGCGCTGATGTGCAGCCGCTTGGCCATCATGATGTACAGCACGCCAATGATGGACAGCGGCACCAAATAGTATATCGACGCCTTGGCAACCACCATATATCTGCAAATGGAAGAGCCAGAAGAGAGAGAGAGTGTAAAATTGGTATCCTAATAGGAATATCGCAGTTAAAGTCTCTGTACTTGGCTGACAGTGAGGTGCGGAGATTAATTGTTTAAAATAGCGTGAATTGAGCAACTGACATTGCAGCTTAATTAATCACAGCCCATCGGAGATTTGTCAGCAATCTGTCAATCACATTGGAAAAAAGCCAATTTAATTCGACTTCCATCAATTGATTTAATATGAAAAACCCCCTTCTTTGATTTAATTCGCTTTTATTGAAAATGTTACTCGTTTAATTTAATTCCTGTTTACGTTTGTTTTTTGTTTAAAAGCCAATCTACAAGAGACATTTGCTTGTCAATTTTGAAATATGTATATAAAGAAGCTTTGCAACTTAATGATTCAATTGCAACGAACAATCTAGCAAACACTTTATATACTCTTTTTCATTGTAAAAGATTTTTGAATTTTTCTTCAAATGTTATAGAAAAAATATTTATAATATTAAATGTGGCTTTAAGTAAATCACAAAAACCCCTAGAGTCATCCGATTCAAAAATCTTATAAGAATACAAAATAAGTCTATTCTATTTCATTTTATCGATAATTATCGATTTAGAGATATGCTTTTTTGGGGCCCAACTCAAGCATTAAAAGAGCTTGATACAAGAAATTTTGGTATATGGGCTCTCGTTTAGTATGAATGGAATGAGAATATTTTACTTTTTGGATACCGCAGCCAAAACTGGCAAAAACTAGAACCTTCCGCTTTGGATTTTCACACATTATAAGTTTTAGTATTGCGTTTAGCCAAATAGACCTCTCTTGTTTTAATTTATTTTTATTATCACGTATATAACCAAAAGTACTTTATTAAATTGCTAAAAAAAAGGGTGAAAGGCAATATGAAATCCACGATTAAATTTTATATTTGTTTCTTTTTTTGGCCAGAGCTTGTAGCTAAGCTCTGCAACATATCCTCCTAATCCGATTAACTCACAATTTGTATATTATTTAAAGCACAAAATTTCAAACCGAAAGTGGTTTCCGTGGGATTGTCAAACACTTTTTTATGTTGCATAAAAAATATGAATGAATCAAATAGACCAAATACTCACAGCACTTACGCAAACTCAATATATCCTAATTGCTTGTTTCGAGGGGGCAGTAAATCGTGCTTCGATTGCATTCGCTTTTTTTTTATTATAACTTAATGCATTTGTAAATTGAAAAATATTAAAATGTCGTGAATACCCGTTAAAGGAATTACCGATGCTTGGTTGCACTTTTTAATAACTTAAAAGGAATTTTATATTGACAGGTTTTTAATTGCGTTCTTAATTTTTGAGTACTTGACAGCTTATTTAAATGCAAATATAGGTTTAGGAAATAAAACTAGTGAAGTTAAGGAAATAATACCACATGCTAAACTAATCGTGTGTAGCTTTTATATATCCTGAGATCGAAGAGATTATATTGCTTGTCAGTTGTATGTATACATATATATAGAATAAATCCTTTATTGTCAAAGTATGTAGTTGAAGTATGTTTCCTGGGTGATAATTGAGTTTTCACATATATATATTTATAAATAATTGATTAACTAAATTATGTAAATATTTTGCAACACTGGCCAGTCAGCTTATGATAAATTTAATATAAAGAACATTGAAAGCTCAACCGTTTGACAGGACGTTTTAAGGACTCCAACAAATTATGCCATTTAATTTAATTTAGACTCGCAGCTCAGACAGCAAACGAGATGATTGCCAAATACATGAAATGAACATTAGAAATAAATTCAGTAAGCGGATTTGGGCCAAATAGCTGCATGTCTAAGCCATATTTAACAATTTGTTAGACTATTAAAATGCCAGCAGGGTGAAGACATCCAATAAATTACAAAGCGCAGCCCATTTTGATGACTTACGACAGAATAATTCGTTAGCATAAAAGGCAAAATGAACGAAAATTCGCTTTTTGTTTTTATTCATAACGTTTGGAGTTTTTTTTTTGAATATTTAGTAAGGGAAAAAACGATAAGCTACACGCCGAAGAACGAATGCCCTTGTCTGGCATTGAAATGATTTTTATGAAATGTTTTTATACAATTGATTGTTCCAATAGGACTCATATAATATATACCAATTCGATAGGGACTTGCAGATATGTCGAAAGGATAGAGTAAAGCTCGTAACTGAGTAAAAAAAATTGAATCTTTCATTCTAAAACTCTTGAATTCAAAAACATGTATTCTTGTAGATCTGTATGATATAGTACTTCGATTATAATAAGGGATTGCTTATATATGAGGATCAAGAACAGTTTTGAACTATCGCAAAAGGACATAAAGACAAAAACGACTGTTGGTGGTGATCAAGAATAATATACTCTTATGGGCCAGAGCTCCATCAATGTCTTACGCAATTCGTGACAAATAGATAAAACTCTCTCTACAAGAGTATAAAAACACGCTGAGGAGTTATAAAAAGGTTTTTATGAATTTGATACAAAAATTAGTAACCAGTTGGCTGAAGCTGTGTAAATTACAGCGGAGAGGGAGAAAGAGAGAGTGAGAGAGGGGAAGATAATGTGGCAACAGCTGCCGTTGTCCAGCATGAAAGGATTTCCAACTTATGGCAACAGACGAGCAGACATAGCCGCAGCGAAAGGTGGGGCCAGGCCGTGGAAACAAGCTACATTAAAAGGAAGAGCGGAATTAAATTTAAGTTGCCTATCGGCGCGAGGAATGCGACGAGCAGCATATGGCCATAGTAGGGACAGAGTGTACCAGGTGGACGACATGGAGCCACGCAACAGCTTGATGAACTGAACTGGGAAGGGTAAAAAAGCGGTTGGTCAGGGTGGCATTTAATGATTTTAAGCGCCCCTTAAAGTGCCACGTGACAGTAGAGTACCTCCTGAGCATGCAAATCGGTTTAAATGAACGAACATAAGTAGCTGGCAATAAAGTGCTTCGAGGAGCAAATCTATGGAAGGGTAGCGTATACTTTTCTGAAGCTTGTCAAGTCTAAGAAACGATTTAATGCAATTTTATTTGCATTGTTTGCGGCATATACATTTCCCCAGAACTGAGCATTGTTCTTTCTCGAAAATAAATTGCTGGGAATTGAAAAAGACTACATTCAATTGTTTAACATAGATAAATTGTTTTCCCCTGAAAACTCATGTCTGTAATTTGTATGTTGTAAGATTCTAGGAACCAGACATACCAAGTATTTTGAAGGTGTTTTCGGTAAGCATCGAATTTTGATTGCATCAGCTTCAGTGAAATAAATGCATTGCATTGTTCTTCACAGAAACGTAAATATTACATTTGTTCCCCCTGCTTTCTCACCTCGTATACCCTTGGACAAGGTAATCGGGGTATGCGGTTCATTTTTCCAGTTTAATTTCAATCGTACTTGCCATTAAATACCAAGAAAAAGTTAATTTGTCATTTTGTTGATTTTCACAAATTGAAAATGTCATTAAAACAAAATAAACAAATGTACTTGGAAATTTTAGCAGCCTTGAGAGCATAATCGAAAGAAGGTTATTGTTAGGTACTGCAAGGAATAATTAGATAAGATCATAATTGATATATAATATATATAGTATGCCTTTTTCTCTGGCTAATTGATTAATGATTAATGGCCTTATGTTAGGTAAAAATAGCAAACACGCGTTTCTAGGCAATTCCAACGGTTGAATGAAACCCGTGCGATCGTTTTTAAGCTCATTTTCAAGAATCTTACTTAAAACCTTTGATGTTTTTCAGAAAATCTACCACTTGAGTAGAAAATAGGGATCAAAAGTAAAATTTTAAAGGCGAAAGCTAAATTTTGATCCGATCAAGTTTTTGCCAACATTGTTTTAAAAGGCGAAGATATGAAATGAATTGCGCCGTGCAAAGCCGGGTACTACGCCTTAACCTAATATAATTAAATACCGCATTTTATAATGTATCTTGAAATGTTTGTTGTTTTCACAATCAATTTTCTTAGCATTTACGCAGGAGCTGTCAATTACTTGAACGGCTTCTGCTTCACTGGACTTCACTTGGACTTCACTTGCTTGGTGGACAGTGGGCTTTGGGCTTTGAGGGGGCGGGGTATGCGTGAACACCCACTTAAAACTAAATAAAACCGAATGGGGCGAGCAAATGCGAAAAAACATCCAACTGATTGGCCATTTGGCCAGCGGCTACTCACTTTGCATAAATCTTGGTGCGAAATGGCGAGCACACTTCAATGGTTATGTTGCCATTGGGCGTGGGCAGGGTGTAGCCCTGGATGTCGGAGACAACAAACGATGGCATGCCCAGCATTATGGCAAACACCCAGATAATCACGGCCGTAAAGACAGTCAGCGGCTTTGTCTGTGTGCAAGCAAGTCAGAAGCGAAAAAACAATAAATAAATGGAAATTAGTTAAGTGACCCAAATGGATCCAAATGGAATAAATGCGCGCTTTGCTCACCTGCAGTTTGCGCAGCGGATTGACAATGGCGCAATAGCGTTCCCCGGAGAGAGCTGTCAACGTGAAGACGGAGACGCCAATCGAAATGTCCTTGAAGAATTCGGTTATGCGGCACATGTTACGCTCAAAGGGCCAACTCTCCTGGGTATAGACTATTGTGGCCACCGGGACACAGACCAAAATGACCAGCAGATCGGCCAGCGCCAGTGAGAGTATATAACTGCAATGCATCAGGAGATAATTAATTAAATGATTAACAGAAATGATATGTATAATATCGATAAATTGATGAGATTATCGGTTATCGATAGATAATCGGTTGTCGATAGATTATTGTTCAACAAACTGATAGAGGTTAAGCTTCCTTTTAGAACTTTTTAAAACTTATTTTCATAATCGGGAAAATTTGGGCAGGCTATTCAAAAATGTAAGAATTTCTTATTCTTACACACCAAATTTAATATCTCAAGCTCTTATTATATTTGAGCTATGCTTTAAGCATCTTGTAAAACCGATTTGTGTCGATTTTGTGGAATTGAGGATAAATTGTGCGAATTGAAACTATCAAGGGAGACCTCTAGCAAACGTCCATTTATAAAAAGGGTATCTCTAGCTTTCAACATTTCTGATTTCTATTGTCTTCAAAATATAGTTAAGTATAATCTGACCCAAAAGTGTGACCCAACGCTTGTGACTTACCATCGTATCGATTCAGCAGACCTTAAAGTTTTGTGAACGTGAAAAGAAATGGAATGTGTGAGTGTAGACACAGTTAAACGTGCCAAATTTGCTGCTTGGTTGCACTGGGATTGAATTTGGAACAGAATTGGTATTGTTATCGATATCGGAATGTGAATGGGAACGTGAATGGAAATGGTGCCTGTTCGGTTCCTGTCATCCGTTGTGCATTCACATGGAAAGCACTCGATTTGAAGCGCACTTTGCTGTACAACATTTTCTTTTGTGCTTTTCTTTTTGGACACTTACAAGTGGACTTCTTGATTTGGGTCTGCACGAAATGCCAGCCGCACACACTTCGCATAGCCCCAGGCCCAGTCTGGAACATCTTTATACATAAGTGTTGTCTAGCGACTGGCAAATCGAATAGAGTTTAATTTCACAGAGCTCAAGTTGGGAAAGCAGACAAGAAAAAACCAAATGTCGCCGTTCGCAGTTAAAAGGCAAATGTGGCCTTCATTTAACAAATTGCTTTGGCATTGACACGCTTGAACCCCATCGAGGTGCCAGACGACGGTTAAGACATTTTTCCCAAACGCGCACCATTATGACCCACAAATTGGTAGTTCTGATTCGTGTCAATTGGCGCTTGTCTAGACACACGGACAAAGACCAGCAAATCAAGCAAAAACTTTTGCGCAGCTTGGTCCATTGATTGGCTCAAATTGCAGCATGTCATGACTTTCCAAAAGCTACAATCAGTTCACAATAGTTCAATTGTCACCTGGCAGTAAATGCAAGTTTTAGCATTTTTATTTGTATATTTCTTCTTTATTTTTATACACTTGCTCACGCTGTCAGAAGAGTCAATGGAGTTGATTGGGACTCGAACTTTGGAGTAAATTTTTCGTGTATACCACGGCCCTGAAATCACGAGATAAATATATTACGCAGATCTATGAAGACTATTGATGAGCTTTCGCAGAAAAATCTTGTCGAACTATCAAACGGGCTGTCGCCGGTTCAAATCTAGCAGCAATTTTCTATTTTTTATTTGGTTATTTAAAACTTAATTTTGATTAATTAAATTGGTTTGGGAATTCTTGAAGTCAACGTCTTTTTTTCACCCGGGACGCCGGATAGTTTATTCTATTTATTCTATATAAATAAATTTGTCGGGCATTTTGTTTTAAGCTGTTTTTGCACTCTGCACGAGTATTAGACAGTCAGAGCCTCACAACTGCAACATTTGCACTTGGAATATTTTATCTATTACTTGTCAATTTGTGCACAGAAATAACGTGTATTCAGTATGACATATTTTTTGACAGTCGAAGCGTGAAGACAATTTGTAATATGCTTGTTACGCAACTGTTACTCAGTTCCAAGCCCCTCCTCTGCGATCCCTTGCATTCCATGCCAGTTCTGTCACCGGCTGTGTTCACAGGAAAACTTTTGATTGTATTTCCATTTCAATTTATTTAGATTTTCCACCAGACGCCCCAAAAACAAGCCACAAGACGTTACACAGTTGTACAAGCTGTAAGTTTCCTACAAGTTTCCAAATTAATAAACATTTGCATATGCCCCAATCAAAGAACTAAGTGTTCTAGTCGGGCGTGACCGACTAGGAGCTACCCTGTATACAGCGCCAAGCTACTGTAACCAACATTTAAAATTTCTTCCAAGCAATGCGGCTCTCTTCGGTCTTTATGAAAGGCTCTTTATATGTAAATAAGAAGATTAGATTTATGCTTTATGGGATCGAATATGCCTCCTTCTGCTTGTTACCTACATTTACACCATACCCATATATCCTAACATAACATAATAGAGTATAAGAAGCGTCGACAGCTGTTCGCTTTGCATTGTTTTGCCAACCCGATTTGGCATTTTTTTTATACAAATACAGCTTAGCAACAGTTAAGCCAGCTCCAAAACAAAGCTGTCAATATACGAGTGTCATCCTCTGGCTATTCAGTGGAATCAAGTAAACGCAATCGGATCTGCCTGACAAGCAATAAGCATACGCAGTGTGGACCAGCACTCAGTTGATAAGGTTTTTTTGTTTGTGCCTCGCAAGAGTTTAAACGTAGCAAAGCTCAACATTCGACTAAAGCTACTGCAGAGCTGGATTGGTTTTGTTGAAATTAAGAGGAGCGTTAGGCATTAAATGTCATTTAAGCTTTTCACAAAATTTAACTTCTTAAATAGCACAAATGTAATGTTTAAAGCAAGCTTAAACAAACTTTTGAAGATTAAGGTATGTTTAAGCCTTCAAGAATATGAAGTACCCTTTTAATGACATATACACAACTTATAACTTTTAACCTTTTCTAAAAATGTAAGTGCAGGAGAGTATTTCTTCTATAATAAAATGATTTCGGAGATGCTTCCTTCTGCCTGTTACATATATTTGGCTTTCGCACAAATACAATATACCCTGAACCCATTAAAAATGATAAATAAAATAATAATGATAAAGAGATTGGTAATGACAATGACAAATAAAATGACAATGACATTGGCAATGACAATAACACTGACAACGAAAATGATAATGATGATAATATTTATAATAATATGATGTATTTTATTAGAACCAACCGATTATACAAGTTGTGTAATCGATGCTGCTTGAGCCATAAAATTAGTATCTTTCATTTCCTTGAATCAATGTGACTTAAACGACTTCCCCTCATTGAATATTTAATTTAAAAATTTTCTTTAGTATTGCTGACCGAAGACACCGCCTGCTGTCCGCTGCAGCAAAGTTATGAAACATTTCTTGAGAACTTGGTCAAACAAATCGACAGCTGTTTTGACCCCAAGAACAAGAAGAAGTTAGTGGACCGAAGCCGACCACAAGATCTGGACTGGCATATAAAATAAGGGGCAATAAAATCAGAGATCTCATAACTCAACGCCATGAATGTTGAGTGGCAATTCTTTTAGGCTATTTCTGGGCGGCACGCAGCACGTTCATTTTGGGCAAAAAATATGTATATGAAGTGTACGCCATGATTATACACGCATATGGATGCTGCATATATATTTTAGGGGGGGGGGGGGGGGGGGGGGGGGGGGGGGGTGAGTGGATGATGTGAACGCCACGGGTTGCCCATAATCGCAGCACTTACGTGTTGGGTATGTTGCGCATGGAGCGATGCCGAAAGAATATGATGACCAAAGTGCCATTGCCCAGCACGCCCACAATAAAGATGAGCGTATAGAGCACGGTGACAATATAGGTCTCCGGGCGATCCAAAACCTTCACATACTGCGGATACTCCTCGCCGCTGGCATTATGCGTGCTCGTCGATGTTGTTACCGTTGTTGTTGTTGTTGCCGCCGCTGTTGCCAACGATCCATCCAGCTGACTCGTATTGCCGAGCTGGCTGACATTCAGGACGGCAGCAGCAGCAGTGGCTGCCGCGTTCGACTCCAGCGGCGCATAGGCAAGGCTCGCCGCCAGCGTCTGGCTCATGTCCATTAGAGCCGCTAACATGTTTTTTGGCATTGCTCAGTTGCCCCACTGACTGACTGACTGACTGACTGACTGACTGAGTGATTGACTGACGCTCTTTTCTTGTCTTGTCTTGGCTTGTCTCTCTGTTGGCTGCTGTCGCCGTATGCGTGTCGTTTTATATGCTCGTTCGGGCCAGTTCCGTTTCCTTTTTTGGCCTTTTTTGGTTCAAGTTTTGCACTTCTTGCCAAGGGTATTCAGTTTATGGCATTTAGGTTTTTAGTAGAGTGGTTGTTGCTGCTGCTGCGTGTTGTTGTTAATTTTGTTGCTGCCACAGTTGCGTGTTTTATTTTGCACATTTTGTTTTAGCTGTGACCACATTTGCTGTCTTTGTTGTTGTTGCAGTTGCTGTTGTTGTTGTTGTTGTTGTTTTTGCCGTTGCTGTTGCTGTGTGTGGCTTTGCCCTTTGACTGGCGCCAGTTGCTGCCATGCTGCAGAGAGAGAAAGCGAAAAACCGAAAGTAAATAGTTGTTTGAGTCGTTGTAATAAAATGATTAAGGTTGCTTTCTGTGCAAGAGAAAACAACATGGCGTATGTGTAACATTTAACAATTTGTATATAGCTTAATTATGCTGCGGTTTTGTCGTTCATTTAATACGTGTGCTTTTATGAGATGCGGAAGCAGACTTTTAATTCAAATTGCTTAAAGCCTTTCGTAAAGTTACATATATTTTATGTAATAAATAGATAAAAACAAAAGGGTAAAAGCAATGCATACATTTAATTTGTGCCGGATTTTGTGTGTTTTTGTATTCGTTAAAATCTTTTTTAATTTCTGCACAAACATGCAGTTTTTGCCTTGGCATGAACATGAACCGGTTCACGCTTGAACCGCTTGCGAATTATATGCGAAAACTATGCGAAATTTGGTTCATCCTAGCAAATATAAGCTGCGTATTATGAATTTAATTGTCATATTTCTGTACAAGCTGTAGAAGGGAAAAATTATAGCAAAGCTCTTGCTTATAAGAACTCATACATGCCAAATGCAATTTAATATTACGACACGAACATTTTTTCGTCCTTTGTGCAACCGAAGCGTCATATAGCTCACTTTGAGCCCTGGCTTTTGCTCAGTTGGTGCAAGGGATTCATTTATTCCGTTTTCCGTGTATTGACATTCTTTTGTTATTATTTTTTTTTTTAAGTTCTTGCAGTAAGACGGAGATACAGTGCGTACAGACACAGTGAAGCAGCTGGCAATGCAAGGGGCATTGGGGGAGACCTGTGAAACGCTTTGGGAACTAATACGAATTCATTCGGGCAAATTCAAAGACTTTCAAATCGCAATCAGTCGTCTTTAGCCCAACCGCAATCGCAGCCGCAACGCATCTGTTGTAGATCTGGAATCGGATATGTGTCTGGATGGGTAGGGCTGTGTCTGGCTGTGTGTGTGGGCGTTCCTTTGCCTGTGTCGTTTCAATTTCAATTCAATATTAGTTTGTTTTGAAGGCGTCACTTGTTTTGATGCAATTGATTTCGAGCTAACTGCGGCTATCCTTTGCGGTCCACGCTGCGTACGCGTGTTATTTATTCATTGGCTAAGAGGGTCGAGCAAATTGTTGGCAAATCGAACAAAATCTTTTTGAGGCCATTTAGCTATTTATAGCTACTCTCTGGCTATCTATAAGCAGCTTTACCTTCAAGTACGCGTAATTTCAGTGCCCACTTATATGGCACTCTGGAGGCCTTGTGGGATTCCCAACTCAACTCAACTCAACTCAACTCAACTATGCGGTCAGGTGTGTCTAGAGCATTTGATGGGCCTTGCATTTGTTTGCCATAAAATCAAGTATTTATTGGACGGCTTCTTGAAATTATTGAGCTGTGCATGGCAAGTGGACGTCGGATTGCCACCATTCGTTCCACAAATAATTGAAAGATTTAACAAAGCAGAGGCCCGCAACAGAGAGAGAGAGAGAGACAAACCAGCTGAAGGGCTGCTGCTTGAACAAATTTTAAATAAAAAAAACACTGGATTATAGCACTCAGTAAATTGAGAAATTAAAGTAATTGATAACCTAATATTATATGTACAAAATTAAGCTATTCAATTTCTAGCATGGTCTTGAATTTTCTGGCATCAACACTTGACAAAAAAACAACCTTTTAAATTCTAGTAAAAAATCACAATTTCTGAGCAAAGCATATAAAAAAAGTTTAACAGCATGTGTGCTGCTTCTAGCTTAAAGTCATAAAATGGTTTTGGTATTTTATGTGCGGCACGTTGGGTGCCATATGCACCAAGATTTCTCACCGTTTTCATATGCCATAAATTACATATTTAAAATCTATATATTTCATTGCATTAAAGTCTGCGCATACTATTGTCTAGCTGAAGGCCCTGGCAGCCATTGCTGATATCCACTTATCATGTAGTTTCAACTTAGTTTATATAAATAAAAAAAAAAAAATAAAGTCTGCGCATTGTCTCACACATTTTATGCATCCCTTTTTGGGCTTATATCGGTTTGGGCTCTGATAAAAATTACTAAATCTGAAAAGATTTATAAAATTTAATAGTATATGTGTGTCTTCCAGTCGGCGGTCGTAAAAACTTATTGTCATGTTATGTGCCCCTACGTTGGGCGCCATGTGGCCAACAATGCCTGACGATTGACTTTTCAGTCAATTGACATGGCACTTAAACGACCCACATTCATAACATTTGTGGCAACTACATAAAGGAGTCAAGCACACAGAAATTTAAGTGCAATTAGCTGTGGCACCGACCCGGCCCGGGTCAGTAAATACGAGACTACAAGCTCGTAACCCTCGCATTGCCAATGGGAGCTTCATGTTTAATGACAGACCTATGGGCAATATGCTGGCCCAAGTGTCGACAGCCCAACACCAGTATGTATTTTATGTGTGTTGTGTGCTCTGCTGGAAGAGATGTGAAATGTGAAATGTGACTTCCGGCGAAAACGAGCTGAGTGTAAAGCTTCCGCAATATTAATTATACTTCGCATTTAGACAGCGAGCGAACTTAAAGTTGTTACCCACTTCTGCTTCAAGTTTTATTGGTCGCTTCGGGCGTTAGGCAATTAGGCAAGATCCTTAAAACTTGTGAAATATGCCTGACGATTTTTTTGCGCTTTGCCTTAAACTTGTCTCTCGACGGCACAAAGTTTTGAATTAGGCGCCAACTTCCTGCGGCCATCCGCTGATAGACAAACGGAAACGACAGCCGAAACGGAAGTAGCTGCGGCAGGACAAAAGCTAAATGTCTGAAGTCAAACAACTGAAAGTGCCACACAACAGGCGTCAGCAGAGGCGACGAGATAAGTTTGAGGAAAATACCAGAAACACATCAATTTTCCAGCAAGAGGGAAGCAACAAATACCAAACAAAAGCTCTTTAATATAACTGTCAAAATAAAATGAATAAAAAAAAAACAACAAAAATAATATTATTAAAGAAAAATAATTTAACTTGTGGGACTAGCCCCGCGGCTTAGGTACTCAGCTCCTGTTGACCTCAATCAATTTAATTGCATTTTTTAAACAATTTCAGCAAGTTGCCACGGGGAAAGACCTGCTAGGCGACCGGAAAAAGTTTTAAATTTTTTTAAAAGTTTTAAATATACTGCTGAAAAAACGTAAATCAGTGGACAAATTTAAAGCGATTCGGCCATATGAGCTGCGGACGAAAGCCAATTCAAATATAGTTAGTGCCGGACAGACAATTTTTATTAATTTTGGGGACATTCAAAGTTTGGTATTAATCGTTTTCTCTATGTGCTCAAAGAAATAAATAAATATTCTTCCAGCTTAAGAAATTAGGCCTTATGCTTTAAGTTTTAGCCAAAACTTATTTAAGGTATCTTAAGAATACACTCTTAAATAATTTTATAGCTCCTTTAAAGCGAATGTCCTTCAATTTTTAAGTAAACAAAATGTAAAAAAATAGTTCATAAAATGATTTCCACGAAAATAAGACAACATATGCTTAATACTAAATAATAATATCAAATAATATTTTAATAGTATTTAAATATGCTCAAGCAATATATAAAGAAATTTCGACACTCTTTAAAAACATGTAAAATACAACGAATAATATTGGAATCTCTTCCAGCATTTAAGCTTGATAGAAACGCATTCCAGAAGCTCTTTATATATAATTTCCTCATCGTAGCTGACGTTCGCGTCATTCGCGTGACAATTTTTTATTCTATTTGGGTTTGTTTTGCGGCTGCCATCGTTATATTCACGCGTATTTATTTATGATTAAAGCCTGTTGTGTCCTGAAGTATGGGTCGACTTTTGCTGCCTGCGCTGAGCTCAGATAGCAACCGGCGTCTGCTTTTTGAACGCAATTACATTTGTCAGAGGGAAAGTCTATTAAAATGCCTGACTGCCTGCCTGCCTGACTGGCTGACTGGCTGCCAGGCACCCCGTTGTCAGAGCGCCCCGTGGTGCCTACGGCAGTACGGGCCCCGCTTAAGACTGAGGACTAAGCGCAGACAAAGGCGGATAAAACATATTGTTGGAATGGCGTTCAGTACATGCTCAACATTCTTATGAGTATGTGTTAGATAAATCATAAAGCAAACATAATTTAATGCACACACGAACTCACACTTGTTCTCTGTCAGGTTTTTGCTTGTAAGCTGCACAGCAACAGAGGGATAAGGCGACCGGGCGTATGTGTAATGTGGCAAGCGTGTTAATCATACGCCACGTTTGCGCAGCCAAGCTGAACTTTTGGCCCCGTTGAAAAGCGCAAGTGGAAACATTGAGAATTTTATTTTTTGTTTTTGTTTTTAACTCATAAGTAACCAACTCCAAGTCCAAGCCCATGTCAAACTCAGACTAATGGCCCGCCCATTATGCAACGCGTTCTAAGCTATTTTAATTAGAGTCGAAAAAATGCTTGCCATTTATAAAGAGCAGAAGAAAAAAAGGTGGTCGCTGCTCATTTCGTATGCGCCGCTGCCCTGCCCCAATGGCCGCCTGCCTCAAATATTATGCAAATTTTCATGACGTTCCATTTGCCTCTCTTGCTCCGAGCCGTGAACATAAATATTGACAAAGTTACACGTCTCGACTGCCCCGGGGGCCCAAAGCTGAATCAATGGCAGACAAGTCAAGGCACAACAGACACGGACTCGAAGCAGGCGGAAGCTCCGGCTGGGTCATCCATTGCAGGTCATAAAACGTTGCCATTCGTTATGATTGAAGATGATTGAAGATGATTGCAAATGACTCTGCGTACGCACATCGATTTAGCAAGAAATGCCGCCGTTTGTTTGTATTTCACTACGGCCAAAAAAAAATCGTATATAGCGAGAGTACACACAAAGTCGTAAAGCTCGATAAGAGTGAAAGTGAAATGAGCTCAAAAACAAAGCTTAAGTCGAAAATACATACACGCTTAGCAATTTATGGATTCAAATATGAACTGAACGTAATTGCAGAAGGTAATGAGGCACAGTCAACCTAACTACATACTTAAAGCCGTCTGGCAACGCCGCACTCCCTCATTGTGCATTAAACTAAATTAAAATGCAAAAATATTGTGACCTTGCTTTAAAAATGTTTTGTCTTCTAAAGAACTTTTTGTTATGGGTGTTGCCAGCTTTTCAGCATGAATACAATTAAGAAGTTCATTAACTGAACTTGTTAATGAACTTGTGAGTTCTTGAAGTGAACTTGTAACTGAACTAGTAAGTGCTGCATAAGCAGGAATATTATTCAGCCTACAAAATACTTAAGTTATGAATTTATCATAACAAATTGTAAATAATTTGTATAATCTTTACTTGGTACATAAATCATACCTAGAGAATATTTAAATATTTATCTATCTATCTATCTTATGCCCAACTTCTGCATAGATTGCCACCCAATCCACCTTTCAAATATAATTTAATTAAGTTTATAAATGATTATTCAGGATCTCTTCAAACCCACGCTGAATCTACTTGACTTCTTAAACTTCTGCTAGAGTTGAAAATAAAATCCTTTTGTGAGCATTTCGAATTCTAGTTAACTCAATAACTATTTTCTCTAAATTTTGTTGAGCTATTCGTCTACATTGGAGCAGTTTTTTTTTTTATTTCAAACACAAGATTCGTTATTTTCTTTTCGTAAAAGTCTAAGAGGGTGAAATGTCTAAGAGGGTGAGCATAGTTTTGCCGGATGCACCTGGTATACCGACACGGTCTCGGTCCCCGTCTGGATCCAAGTCTTCTTCCCGGCGCTCATCAACGGCATCTGCGAAAAGTGCGCTCAAAAGTCCCAGAGGTAGCACGGCAGGCAAGTCCCTGTCTGCACCTGAGCCTGAACCGGAGCCGAAGCCTGCACCTGAGCCGGAGCCAAAAGCGCCAGCTGAATCGAGTGAGAGCGCCCTGGTAAAACTGTCCATGACGGATCTGTTCTCGGATGGCTGTGAGCGCTACACAAAGGATTGTTGTTGCTGCCACTGCATCGCCGTGAGGCGTGCCCTCAGACAGGCCGCGTTTCTGAAAACGCCGGAGGGCAAGCAGCGACTGGAGCTGAAAATGCACCTGAAGAACCTGCTAATGGACATCAATTCGATCACAGCAACACGCGACACGATACAGAACCGGCTGCATGGCACCAAGGAGTATCCACCGCCGGCGACCAAGAGCTTTCCCATAACCATCACCCATGTGGCGCCGATAAGCAGCAGTTGCATGTCCATTGAGTGGTATCTGCATGACGATTCGAATATTGTCCACTACGAGATATATGTGGACAATGCGCGTCGCAAGCGCGTCTTCAATCCACAGCTGACATCCACCGTTGTCCTGGATGTGGACATGAAGCGTACACACAAGATTCGCATGAGAGCGGTGCCCAGAAAATGTCTCGGCGCACGTGCCAATCCCATTGACAGGCTGGTCCGAGATGTCTGTTGCGGCGGTCTCGACAGGATTCTTGAAGCCGACTACTTTTGTGATTGCGCCAGAAAAAATGAATTGGAGAAAATCAAAGAGGACTACAAGAAGAACTCCTGCCAGAAGCTGGTCGATTTCTGGAAAGACAGCGAGTTCCTCTACATACCCATCTGCGACTGTCGCGGCGCATGTACATGCGACTGCTTCGCCGAGAATTATAATGCGTGCTCTTAGACTCAACTATGCATTCGATTTGAGCCCAAAATTGGGTACACCTACAGAAAATTTTAGTTTACACAAAAATTAATCCAAGTAATTGTAAAATATTGTCAGACTTATATATACAAAATAATAAATGCTCAGGCATGCGGGCAACTGATTAAGAAGGACCCTGGTTCAAATCTATAGCATTGTCTTATCCGAAGGCCATAGTCAATTGATAGCTTATTTATCCTTTAACTATTTACTTAAAAATAAAATATATTATAGGTATAGAATGTAACAAAAATAAATTATTAAAATAAAGTGGATCTTTAAATTAAAAGAAATTAGTAAAAAGTTTTAAAATGTTTAAGGTCAAGTGCAAAGTCTGCTTTTTTTCAACCCTATATAGTTTTAGGAATTTTCAGGTTAATGAGGTTGGGCAGAATCGATTAAAAAAGGTTTTTTAAGATGACCGCAGTCTGGGTTAAGTTTAAATGAGATTTACAGATACGACTATAGAAAAGATAGGATTATAATAGGTCTGATGGGGTTCGCTTGGACAACTTAACAAAACTTGAGACATGAAAGACAGTTTTGCAAACTTACAATTCGCTTTTATGCAGCCCTAACTTCATATTTTAGTTGAGATCTGAGCAATCTGTAATAAGTTTACGAGTAGCACTCAAATATGGAAGCTGCTTTTGTCGAGTGCTGTCTGTCAAAAACAAAGCTTACTCACTTTGAATACAAGAACAGAATTCATCATCAGATAGAGAGAGAGAGAGAGAGAAAGGGGGAGAGGCAGCGAATCATGTGCAGACAACTTCAGCTGTCGGCTTTATTTAAAAAAGTATATTTATCATAATCTGCAAAATGCTTTTTGGAGGTTGTGCCCCCAAAAGTGCGACTCGTCGCAGCTCATATTATCAGTGGCCAACAGACATTGGCATTAGCATTTCAATTGGCGCACAGGCAGCCGGGCCCCTGACTGTGGCTGACGTAGGCGTCTCCGTGCCCGGGCCATGACATGGCGTGATTAATTATTTGGCAAATATTTGAAATGCCTTCGAGTGGTTTCCATTACAGCGCAATTGCTTCAGTTGCTTCATTTGCTTCATTTGCTGTTGTTGCTGCGTAATATGAACGAAATGAAAATCTGTGAAAATTCACTCAAATGCTTTGCCACATTGCCGCTGCACGTACATTTAATTAATTTTTTACTTTTATTCCACTTTTGATGTACCATTGCCCGATTGATGTACAGTGGCACATTTTCAATTGGCGTCTGTTTGTTTGTTTGTTTTCACGAGGCTTTCCAGATAAACAAGCGCCACTTAGCATACGTACTCTATTTCAATTATTTTGATCATTTTCCCATACCCTGTACCAGCTGTAGGTAGGGCATATGGGATGGAGAGAGTTACTTTAAATACCTTAATATCGCCCCTTTAGCCATCTTCAAGCAGAAAAAAAAACAATATTCAAACAAAAAGTCAGCTCAAGTGGCACTGTTTCAGGGGAAGGATAAAAAGGCGATAGAAAAGCGTTATGAGACCCTAGCATATCTCTCTCCTTCGATTAGAGGGAAATTGTACTGTCTGCTATGTCTTACAGCTTCATACAGCATATTGCCAAGTCGAGCGCGTCCTATTCTATCAATTTTTTATACTCTCTCCCCCATTTGGCCCACGCGTCGTATGCGCTATTTTTATAGTCACATTCAATTACTTTTAACGCTCAAGTTCTACAATTTCTAGACCAAGTTTTATGTGCTGCGTGCTGTTTGCAAATATTTTAATTGATTTCATGTGGTTGCTTTTGCTTTATTTTTTTTTACTTTGTTGCCTTTGCACTACGCAACTTTGTGTAAATATTTCGCTTTTATTGGCAGCCAGCCGCAGACACCGAATTGTTTATACCCCCAAAAATTGTTTATAACCTAATCGATTCACGCAACGTCCGCTTCTCGAAACCAGCTGCAAAAGTGCGTTAAATTTGCCATTTTAATTGAATAAACTGCAATATTTTGAGTGCCGCACACTGTTTGGTTCCCATTGATCCTTTTAGTGACTTAATGGATAACGTTGACACAAAACCCATTTGTCCGCAATGGTTATGAAACAGCTGCAAAGCAGCTTACAACAGCATGAATCAAGTTCGGGTCGGATGATTCACATTCCCGCCAGCCGGATGGCCCAAAAAAACAAAGCATCCAAATTTTAACTCCCAAAAAAACATTCCCATCTATGCACGTACGCATAGCACATCCTGACCTACCCCATGAAGAGGGTAAGGGTATTATCGTAATATTGTTAACAATGCAACCAAGTGGAAAGCAAATACAAAACCAACAACATGAAAAATAATGTGAAAATTTTAAGTGAAGTGGAAAATATTAAAATTGACTTTCGTATTAAACGTGTCAAAGACTGAGATGCCAGATGCGATAACTACAAAATCATATCTGGCTGGAAAAGTTAATAAAACTAGAGGCTGAGAATCACAATATGGATCTACAGTATATACTTTGACAGTTTATCATATCAATATTTAATTCTAAATTATTTTAAAAATTCTCCAGAAATATTCGTAATAAAGAAAATAAATATCTTCAATGTGCAAAATATTATTGTTATTATTATAATTGTTATATTCCATTATCATATTATTTTCCAGCAATAAGTAAAAAGGGTGATTAATAATAAATGTGATACACTCTTAACCCCCGCATTGTTACTTCAGCCTAATGTTATTCCAATGTTTTACCAAAATTTATTCCATTTACATGCCATATTGATGTTGTTACCTTAAGCCGAAATTTATTACAGATTGGTTAACTGTGACACATTATTCCCCTAGGTGCAATGATTTACGGTTTGTTTTACAAGAGTATTTCAGCGCTGCCTACGGCCCAACCCCCCCCCCTCCACCCTCCCTCACCCAGCCAACTTTTTTGCTTGCGGGGAATCTGTCAGCGGCTGGAGGCTGTTTGAAAAATGCAACGAATTTCAATTTGAAATTTCGCGATAAATTGCTCGGTGTCGTCGCTTGTGCTGTTCCCCAACGCGGGCTTTTAACCAAAAAATAAATAAAAATACGTACGGGTGTTCAGGCCCGACTAATAGATACCCTACAAGATAGCAAGCTCCCCTCCCTCTTCTTTCCTGAGCACCATACTATGTTGCATACGACCTTAAATAACTTCGGGCTATATTGTCCGATCTTTATGCTGCGCCAGTGTTTTTTCTTATCTAAGACCGGCATTATGGAAAATACGACCTGAAACAACTTCGGTTTTTATTGTCCGATCTTAGATTCTTTTTCCATAAGCCACAAACTACGCTGAATACGGCCTTGCATTCTTCGGTGCTTATTTTCCGATGTTAATGAGATTTTCAGGGCTTTAATATGGCATACAATACTGTATATACAAGGCGCCAACAACTAATTTTAAGGAGAAAAGTGGTGGAAAACCAATATATATAAGTGAACTATTCTTTATATACCATATACTATATTATTAGCTTACCAGATTTCCTGTCTAGCTCCTATTTACTCTCTTTAAGATGTGCTTTAAAAGCGTCTAGTTTCGTTTTCCAATCAATGTATACATTTGCACAAGCACATTATACCCTTTCTACTCCAATATAAATAGGTTCAGCGTAGGAAAAGGCATAACAAAAAAAGAAGGAAACAAATGCCTGATTCTAAATCTGTTGTGGAATTGCTGTTGCATTGTTTGTGGCGCCACGCTTTGACTTTGGCTTCGTGTGTGCCGCCCCCGCTGCCCAGCTGTGCGGCACACAAAATTGATAAGGGATTTGAGTAACTGCTGGGTGCTGGCCAAAAAGAATGCCAGCATGCAGAGCTGTTCATTTTTGAGTCCACGCTGGCTAATTGGCAAAATCACGCAATGCTGCTGGGCGGTAGGCGGGGCCTGACTTGACTACGAGCAGCTTGAGCTTTATTGTCAACATAATTCAGGCCGAATACACACTCAAACAAGAAGCAAGGACGCAGCAGGTTCCGGCGAAGGGACAACTAAGTGAATTAACCACCACGTGCCGACTATAGACAAAGCTGAACGGAACAAACGTGATGAGCTAAGATGAGCTGAACTGGGCCCGACATATTTCTATAGCTCTGTGGGACGACTGCAATTTGCAGGAAATATCCTTATCCACTTGGCGGTCAATGTCAATAGACCATTAGCCCATAAATAAAAGGCACTTAATCACAAGCAGTTGAAGAGAAGGCAGAGAATATGAAAAAATAGGACAACGTTTTAATGATCTACTAAGGCCTAAGATAAATGTTAAAAACTTACAAATTATTTCAAAGGAAATTGAATGTGCTAAAGTAAATTTGATAAAATTTTATAAATATTCAAAAATATATGTTTAATAAAATATTAATGTTTCGAATTTCTATTTCTACAAAAAAAAACGAGTTTTCCATTCATATTCTGAAAATGGAGATGAATTTACCAAATGGATCTACCAAATATTCCCAAAAATTCGAATACGGTTGTGTTACCCGAAATAATTGTAGTATATTTTCCATTGAAATATCGCCGATTTTTGTAGATTTAATTAACAAATAAAGTTTTCCCACATAATTTTTATCAGCATGTAACCGAACGAATGAAAACACGAATAAATATATAACTAATACCGTATACCGCGCATATTTCACGCTTGTGTGTGAGATAGTTCAAAATATCTTTCGAGCGTTAAGCAACGACAGACATGAAAACTCATTGTTCCCGTACATTTTTGGCTTTTGATGTTGAGCAGCAATGCTCGTATACATGAAAAACTGTAATGTACTAACTATACAAATAATATATCCTTCAAAAGCCGTACCTGCACAAACTTCAGTGAAATTAAAATAAATAGGACAAACAATTTTGTGTCCTGAACTGCGCCCATTAAAACGAAGAGCTTATGTAAATTAGAAGCTTTTTTTGTTCCCTATTTGTAAGCTAGGAGATAAATGTGGCTCACTAAATGAAATCAGAGGGCAAACCATGAAAAACCGGCAAAAGAAAAAAGACCACACAACGAGCTCAAGTTGTGTATAAGGGCATAAAAAAAATTGAATAACAGATACAAAGATACAGATACAACATCTTTTTCTGCGCATAAATTTGTTTTGAATATATTTGTTGTATCTTTTGCAA